CCAGCTGTAGAATCTATCAGCAAAGTTTAAATTCCAGCTGTAGAATCAGTCAGCAAAGTTTTGCCTGCTAGAAAAAAATATTTCTAGTAAAAATTTTCTTAGAGATTTAGGATATCTGAAATCCTCCCTATTACATTATAAGTATCAGTTTTGCAACAAGAGGACCAGTTCTTCAATGAGCCAAGTGGGTTCACGGTTACAGCCTAATTCGATTTTTTTGATAGCTCAAAGTCCCCACTGTATTGTTGGACAATCCTGAAGGTTCCTTCATATTAATATTTTGTTCACTGATCACAATGCTGTCAACATCTCAAAGCAACCATTGGCTACTGTCCTTTTTTATGTATAATATCACAATATAAAAGACATGAATTTGAAAAACTATGTTCCTAGCTGTGCCAGACTAGGAAGATCTCACTGGGAGCTGCTGGGGTGTGATCTACCTGAAGAATCCTTGCTGGAAGACAGAAAGTCGTCGTGTCTTGCGGATAAGCACATCTGCAATCTGGCACATCTCAATGCTGATGAAGAAGACGGTATAGCAGGTGTACTGTTGGTAAAGACGTTGTCCAAATGTCTGGAAAGAGAAAGAAACAGTGGTAGTATGAAGGAAAATTCAATAGATGACCACCAGCCATGAAATAAGCCCCGAGAACTGCTTAAATATTGTTGAAGTTCTAAAACAACACAGTATTTTCCTCCTCCTCCTCCTCCATCATCATGTTAGTGGTCCTATTTTTATCAACAGCTGCACAAAAAAGTGTTGCTGAGTTTTGTCCAAACCAGTCCCTGGTTTATTGGTTTACTCATAGAAGAGAATATTTTCAGCTCAGGGTTGAATGGTGGCATCCTTGGTGTTCTCTGACTTTGATTGTTTTCTTGAAGATATTTCATTACCTAGCTAGGTGACATCATCAATGTTAGAAGGGAGCGGGGGTTTGTTCTCTATATACTAGTGGCTTGCCCTGTCAGTGATAGTGGGCGTGTTCTCCCAATTCATGCAAACAAGCTAAAAGTAAACAATCTAATCAAGGAATCATCAAGAGCAGGGGTCTCCAACCTTGGCAACTTTAAGACTTGTGGACTTCAACTCCCAGAATTCTTTGCTGGCTGAGGAATCCTGGGAGTTGAAGTCCACAAGTCTTAAAGTTGCCAAGGTTGGAGAGCCCTGATCAAGAAGACTCCCAGTTGCCAGGTTGGGTAAACATGGCCTGTGATTAAACAGTCTTGAGTTGCAACAGTTGGAACATTAGGTTGGGAGTCTGCTTGGTCTTTCTCTTCTCTACTCACCCACTCTTGGCCATAGCTGTCTTGAACATCCTGGATATGATCGTTCTCCCAGGCGGCTCGGAGCCCTATGCACTTCAGTGGGAACCAGCCCTCTTGTGCCATGGCGGTGAAGTAATCAACAAAGCCAGCACAGGACTGGATGACTCCTGCAAGGCAAAACGGCACCGGTTGTGTTGGATTTCTGCTCCCGCTGCATCTTGGCATCAAGACTTTTAAGCCAGGGGGTTTCAATGTTTGGGTGAGCCCAGGGATGGGATCCGACCAGTATAACTACCGGTTCTGTTGCTCTGAGTTGCGCGAGTGCAATTTACGACCTGCTGAGCTGCCCAGACAGCTGATCAGTGCTGCGTACGGGTGCGCAGCGGTTGGAAAAGCCCTTTTTTTCCTGCTTTTTCAACTGCAGCTGTGCCGCGCAAAGCAGCTGCTGTTGAAAAAGTAGGAAATAAAGGACAGGTAAGAGGCCAGGTGGGCCAAAACAGCAGCAAACACAGAACCGGTTTGGTGTCTGCTGCTCTTCAGAGCTACCGGTTCTGTAGAGCCGGACAGAACCGGTAGAATCCCACTCCTGGGTGAGCCCATTTTGATAGTATGTTGCAGGCACATTCACTAAATGAGGTAAAGTGAGGAAGCTGCACCTTGCTATCTCATCCAGATCACAAGGATGCTCCTTATCACCATCTTGTCTTCTGGCGTCTAGGCAGGATAGAATATTTATAACTAGCTCGATACCCGTGGTTTGCTATGAAACTATGTGGTAGGGCTTCGTTTTTGGGGAGGAAAATAAGGGGGGAAAAATTCTGCCTCTGCCTACCAGCATCCATTGGTATTTATCTGGCTAGCGTCCTGTCAGTGTGTGAGAGTGGAGTGCTGTTTGGAAACTGAAACAGGATTTGCTGTGTGAGCGAGAAGGAGACAGCAAGGAGCCTGGCCGTGGTTTAGCTCAACTGTTCTGTACTAAAGCTGCTTGCCGCTGTGAAACTAAAACTGAAACTGAAACTCCTCTGCTTGTGTTTTGCATTTGGAAGAGATTTATTTTCAGATGTGGAGGGGGAAGTAGAACTCCTTAGCATCAGAGCGTGTTAATAATAGTATACGAAATACTAGTGCTCTGATGGTCATTTCAAAAAATCCTGAGCACCTAGAAGCCAAGAGGAACTTATGTTCCAAATTTCAAGTTTGTAGGCTTTGTAGTTCTGGAGATTTTGTGATGATGCGTGAGTGGTATTTCGCTTTTATATAGAGAGATAATAATTTCCTGGCTTGTCTGTTTTCCATCTATTTTTATTTTAATACATCCATTGAAGTGATCCTACAAATGCCACTTTGCAGCATTTTAAAAGATTCTTCATCAGGGCAGAAACCTGGTGCTCCTCACAGATACTACATATTGAAACTTCTAGATCTAGCCCTAATCTTGATGTCCTTTACAGTTAGACCAGCCTTTCCTAACCCAGCACTGTCCTGCAATTTTGGAACTCCAGTACCTAGAATTCCTTACTGGTGTAGGAGATGCAGTCCCCCTGATACATCTGGAGAGGCCTCTTTGGGATGAGGCTAATCAAAACCTATTCTAGTAAGCTATCTTTTAAAACATTCAACTCTGGATGCTTATTTTAAAATTGAATTGAACGCACGTTGTTATTTAGCAAATGCATCCTCTCTTCCTCGCTCTAACCACTAGGTGACACCTTCTTGCATGCATACTTACCAATCTGGAAATAGGAATAGACAGCTAGTGCTTCATTGACAAGGCGGTCCCGTCGAGGATTTCGGGGTTTCAGATGCATGATATCACTCTCAGCCTTTTCATAGGCCAGCGAAACCGAGGGGAACTGTGGGGGAGGACAGAATATCTAAAATAAGCATTTGATACAGCTTTAATTACACCCCAGGCTTGCTATGATGGACTTTGAAATTTTGGGAACTTGGTGTGGTGGATGAAAACCTTTTAGAGCAAGAGTAGCCTTTAGACCTGTAAGGTTGGATTCAAACAACATACTTCACCTGATAAATGAATTAATTCATATAATTTGGGTTTACCTTGATCTAACCAATTGGGCTCAATTGGCCTCACCTCAAAATTAAAACTATTAAAAAACAAACAAACCCACCTTAATAACTCATAAATACAGTCACTGGCTTAGTGGGTTTAGCGTGTTGTGTGACTGCAACCATTATATTGCCTTACACAGGCTGGGTTAACACTTTGGGCTCAGCCAGGGTGAGGTTTGTTTCAAAAGAAATGGCTTATACATGCACAAAATGGGACCCACAAAATGAAATCTGGTTTTGAGGGGCGGATGTCTTTTATTCTGCTTCCTGCAAACTTTGGTCCCTTAGGACTCACAATGTCTGTACACAACTCGATGAAGAGGATGGTGATGCAGCCAAGAGGAAGAGGGACACTGACGGTGATGTAGATCAAGTAGGGGGTCAGCTCGGGGATGTTCTTGGTCAAGGTATAAGCAATGGATTTCTTGAGATTGTCAAAGATCAGGCGCCCTGGAGGGGAAACAAAGAAAAATGCAGAACAGGAATGGCTTCCTTCTATGTGTTGTAAGAGCCACGGTGGCGCAGTGGTTAGAATGCAGTACTGCAGGTGGCTATTGCTGACTGCCAGCTGCCTGCAATTTGGAAGTTCGATTCTCACCCCCTCAGGGTTGACTCAGCCTTCCATCCTTCCCAAGACAGTAAAATGAGGACCCAGATTGTTGGGGGCAATAGGCTGTCTCTGTAAAACCGCTTAGAGAGGACTGTAAAAGCACTGTGAAGCGGTATCGAACTCTTAAGTGCTATTGCTATTATTCTAGGTGCATGAGGACAACCTATCTCAGAATCTCTCTACCAAGGGATCCTCCCAGAAACTGACCTTGCTCAACGCCAGTGACAATGGAGGCAAAATTGTCATCCAACAAGATCATGTCAGCAGCATTCTTGGCTGCATCGGATCCAGCAATGCCCATCGCAACTCCGATATCGGCTTTCTTCAGCGCCGGGGAGTCATTCACCCCATCTCCTGTAACAGCCACAATTGCACCCTGTGGATAAGAGCGAGAAGCTATGAGACTTGGGTTCTACAAACGGGATTCAGAACAAAGATTTGTAATGGGCAACACTTCTCTTTAGTATTCCATGTGCTCGGAAGACTTTGCTACGCCATGTTTCTTCTTGGTCTTCATTCTGGAAAGGGGATACCTATCATATTTTCCCGTGTATAAGATGATACTTTTTCTTTAAAGCTCTCTTTATATAAAAGCGAAATACCACTCATGCATCATCACAAAATTTCCAGAACTGTAAAGCCTACAAACTTGAAATTTGGCATGTATGTTCCTCTTGGCTTCTAGGTGCTCACTAAGAAAGGATTTTTCAAGATGGCCATCAGAGCATTAGTATTTCTTATATTACTATTATTAACATGCTCTGATGCTAAGGAGTTCTCCTCCCCACCTGAAAAGAAATCTGTTCCAAATGCAAAACACAAGCAGAGGAGTTTCAGCTTCAGTTTCATAGCAGCAAGCAGCTTTAGTACAGAACAATTGAGCTAAGCCACACCCAGGCTCCTTGCTGTTTCCTTCTTGCTCACACAGCACATACTGTTTCAGTTTCCAAACAGCCCTCAACTTTCTCACACACTGACAGGATGCTAGCCAGATGAATACAAATGGATGCTAGTAGACAGAAGCAGAATTTTTTCCCCTTATTTTTCTCCCAAAAAAACTAAGCTTGACCACATAGTTCCGTAGTGAAGCACCGGTATCGAGCTAGTATTTACCTAAAAATAAAGGGGCGTCTTACACACAGGGTGGCCGGGAGGAGAACCGCGGTTGGAAAAGCTGCCGATACCTTATCTCTGCAAACTAACCTCAGGAGCAAAACTTCCAATTGCAGAGACAAGCTAACGGGTTTCCTCCAATCATGAGCCTTATGTAACTGATGTTGGCAGACAGTGTGTAACCAGTGCCCACATGTGACAGGAAGCCAGGGGGGGATTCAACTGGTGTTACTACTGGTTCGGTGACTATGTTTTGCACGCACATGCATAAAAAAACCATCAGCTGTGCTGCCCGGACAGCTGAAAAGTTCTGCGTGCAGGTGCACAGCGTTTGTAAAAGCCACTTTTTTCCTGCTTTTTCAACCTCAGCTGTGCTGCACAAAGCAGCTGAGGTTGAAAAAAGCAGGAAATAAAGGTCAGGTAAGAGCCCAGGCGAGCGGGTGGACCAAACAGCAGCAAACACAGAACTGGTTCGGTGTCTGCTGTTCTTCAGAGCTACCAGTTCTACAGAGCCAGGCAGAACCGATAGCATCCCACCCCTGCAGGGAGCGGTAATGTCGGAGCATTCTGAGCCCATAAAAATGTCAGAAAACTAAAAAATAAATACCAGTACCGGTAAGCGAATGTCTTACTCTGCAAAATACATGTTTAAATGTTTAAAATAGTGATTTCTGAATTTTGGGTAAGAAAAGTGGGGGAGAGGGCCCCCCAATACATGGGGTCATCTTATAGACGGAAAAATACAGTAATTAGAAGCTTCTTCATATCACAATTGGTCCAGGATGGCTGCTTCAGGCATTTCTATATATCCCAGAGTAATGCGCTTGTCCGTTCAGCCTAATGTATTTCACAAAGCAACTATGAAGATTAAAAAAAAATGGCAACCCCTCATTGTATTATCTTTGGAGGAAGGGAAGGATGCAGCCAATTATTTAATTATGGACTGTGTCCAGGCTTAACTTGTTTACCAGGTTCATCAAAACCCATCTGGGAAGTTCATAGCAAATTATAAATCAATCATGATTTATGGGAATTACACAAATCAAATTACCTTTATTATGGTCATTGGCCAGCATTTATACATATTAAAATCATAAGAAAAAAAAAAACCTAAAGGGAGAATTATCAGCGTTTGGTATTTTGTATAAATGCTGTCACTGGTTCTGTAAACGTTCTGGTTTCAATAGCTGGGAAAGTTTTAAAAAGTAGGTGTCAAATATATCTACTTTTTATAAGAAGTTTGGATCTTACCCAGGGGTAGGCTGCTGCAGATTCGCACAGTTGGGAGTTTCTCTAGCTAAGAGTCTGCCCAGTTTGGCGAACTCGCAAATCCCATCCCTGGCTGGCCCCGCCCGCCCTGCCCCGCCCCTCCCAGGAGTCCCCATGTGGCCCATTTTGGATGCCAGGTAAGTACAGGGCTAAGGAAGGGTGAAAAATGGGCCTCCTGAAAGTTTGAGAAGGCTGGAAATGGGCCTGTTTCCCGCCTCCAGAGGGCCTCCAGAGCCTGGGGGAGGCTGTTTTTGCCCTCCCGGAGTCTTGAGGAAAGCCTCTGGAGCCTGGGGAGGGCGAAAAATGGGCCTCCCGGAAGTTCTGAAAGGCCAGAAGTGGGCCTCCAGAGGGTTGCTGGAGTCCGGGGGAGGCCATTTTTGCCCTCCCGGAGGTTCAAGGAAAGCCTCCAGAGCCCGGGGAAGGCAAAAACGCCCCCCCTCCATGGTGCAGGAGGCCAACTAGGCCACGCCCACCATGGCCACACCCACCCATCAACCTGGGAGAAAACCGGTTGCTACATTTTTTGAAGCCCACCCGATCTTACCAGTTTCTGACAGCTTTCTACAATGATGAGCTTCTGCTGCGGAGAGGTACGTGCAAAGACCATCTCTGGATGCATCTTGAGGATTTCAACCAACTCTTCACTTTCCATATCTTTCAATTGACCTCCATTGATTACACATGCCCGGGCATCCCTTGAAATAAGAGAGAAACCTTCCTCAAGATTAAAAAACCTCCCCAATAGCACCCTAGCAACACCACATGACTTCTTCCCTTGCACAGGATATCTTCCTTGTCCGATGTCGCTGTCACTCAAAGTAGCTCTTTAACATGTCTGGGTATTAAGATGCTCACCGCTTGTTCACCTGCTCCACGGGGATGCGGAGACGGGTGGCTATATCTTCAACAGTTTCGCTGCCCTCTGAGATGATGCCAACACTGGCAGCGATGGCTTTGGCAGTGATTGGATGGTCTCCGGTTACCATGATCACCTGGGGGGAAAATGGGAGAAGGGGTGGGGATTGCAGCAGTTGTCTCTATACATTTTTGTCACACACCCAAGGATCTTGAGCCATGGTGGTACAGGGGTTAGAGTGCAGTACTGCAAGCTACTTCTGCTGACTTCCAGTTGCCTGCAATTTGGCTGTTCGAATCTCACCAGGCTCAAGGTTGACTCAGCCTTCCATCCTTCCGAGGTACATAGTGGTACAATTTTCCAACGCCCTCCCTTCCAATGCCTTCATTTTTGAAATAGATTGTGCAAGCACTTTTCTTGTTTTTTAATATCCATTTGCGTTAAAAGATGGTTTTTATGTCATTGGCTTGTGATGCTTTCAAATACACCTGTATAGGTTAGATTTTCCTCTTTCCTTGTCAACATGGCCCTCATCAATTTTAAAGCCACACGTGCTTGCAGTTAATAAATGATTTTTTAAAAATTAAACAGGATGTGATTTCTGTACTGTGTAATGAAATCCCAGGTTCTGGCTCTATTGGTAGCTGAATTGTGCTTCACTTATTTCTCTTCTGTCTCAATTCTGTAAACCACTTAGAGAGGGCTGTAAAGTGGTATATAAGTCTATATACCTGAAGTCCAACATACCTAGAAGTTTCAGATTAGGAAGGAACCATCCTAGGATCTTGTAAGATTTCAACGTGTCCCCGTCTGGCTTTCATAGCATTATTATGAATACTTTCCCAACCATTTAAATCATCAGAACATCTGATGGACTTACCCGGATGCCTGCAGTACGGCATTTCATGACGGCATCGGGCACAGTGGCTCTAGGTGGATCAATCATAGAGATAAGGCCTGCAAAGCATAGCCCACTAGTGGGGAAGTTTGTTTCCTCACTGTCAAAGTGGTAGCCACGGGGGAACTCATTCTGG